ACTTGTTATAGACCCAGTCTGGATAGTCATACGATTTTTGGGTTATCACTCTAACAAAACCTACATTGAAACCTACGGTAGGAGTATAGATTATCTATGGATCCACACTACTGTGGCAACAACATTTAACTTATGCTGTGTTAGCCTGGACAGGTACGTAGCCATCATTCATCCTCTGCGCTACCACGATTTTCTCACCAACAGAAGATGTTATTTACTGATAGCTAGTATATGGTTTATGTCCCTTGTCTCACCTTGCTCAAGGTTCATGGTTCAGGATATTACAGCTTTATCAACATTGTATTTATCATTTACAGTTATGACAATATTATTTCCTATGTCTATTATCGTGTTCTGTTCTCTTCGAATTTTAAAAGCCGCCTTAGCGCATAACAATAGCATAAACCCGACGAGCAGCTGTGAGCAGAATCAATACGTTATTAGAAGAACTAAAAAGAACTACAAGGCTGCTAAAACAGTTTGTATCATAGTGGGGCTATTTGTGGTTTCCTGGTTGCCAAGTCTCATTACCGGTTTTGTACATTACTTCAATACCAAAGGGTCTCATAACGAAAATTATTACACTGTGTGGACATTTGTTGAAACAACAGCGTTTACCTCATCTGCAATCAACCCATGGGTGTATTGCTTGCGAAACGACGAGTTCTATGAAGCATTATCACGTACATTTCGATTTCTTAAAAAACGGTAATTTGGATAAATGTTTCGTATTCAATTCAGAGGCTGTACAAAAGGGGAACTGGCTGTGTAAATTCATAACGCAAAACTGATATTTTATCAAACAAAAATGAAACGTAGCTTGGTTAGTTGGTAACTGTTTCCCCTAAAGACTAGCCTAAAGTGACTTTTCAAGTTTGTGACAACAGCTGCACGGTTACACTAAATCAAGTTGTTGTCAAAACTCAGAAACGGCTTAAATAGAAATTTCCGAACTCCATCCAACCTGTGAATAATAATTACCCATTCCATTATTCTAGCTTTAACTGCAAATTTTGTATTGGGGAAGAATTTATTTCCACTTTTCGGGGAAGTTTTCGGCGACTTTTTGAAGTACAGGAAATGTTTTACAGGGTACTATGTCAATATTTTCTTTGGGTACCCAAGCATTAGGTTCATTACCACAAAAAGTGTTTGTGTTTTCAATCAATATCCAGAAAACAGGCTATGGAAATAATCATTAAAAAGACTTATCTTTTATTCAAATGGTACCTCTTTGAAGTCGGTAGTACATCACGTTTTCTTTAAATGTTTACAAGGAATTGTATTACAAGTCAAGAGACAGTTACTAACTGGATCTTTGTAGTGTAAAAATATATTTCCCTTACAAAGAGATATTTCAGAGGCCAGGAATGGTTATATCCTACCCTTTTGCTAATTATTAGGGTTTCTCTGAGTAAAAGCCAGAAGTAAACTACACTTGTTTAACGTGTAACAAGTGAACTACACTTGTTGATGCCTTACCTAACTTTTTTACATGACGTGGTTGATGAAAGGGTAGTTCGAAGGGTAAACACAATTTTGCTGTGGAGTTGTTTATCGATGCTTGTACATGATCAGTAAGGAACGTATAATGAACTTGTAAAAAACAATAAAGTGATTAGGATCTCATGATGAACACACAACTTAAAGCAGT